CACCTTCTCTCTTGCATTATATCCAACATATACCTTACATTCAAGCACATGGACTGAGAGTTCTGTGACAACCAATCTCGTACCATTGACAACTCCATAGAATGGTCAATGTTCCGTAACAACATGACTGGGGTTCCTATCATAAGATTCAACTTATGGTTCAGCACTCTAGGACATCTTATATCATTAAAAAAAACTCGAGGGTGTGGAGATAAAAAAAAAAATCAATATTGAAATCAGATTTGCGCGTACTATCAGAGCTCAAGTATGTTTGACCACCAGTCACGTTCAAAGACGTCATGTACACATTGATATACTCAACCACCTCTAACATTGGACTAGTATAGCCTCATCCTTCAAATAACTGGGATCATCAGTTTCATGCTTAAACATTGGATTATATGCTCTTAACAATTGCAGCGATAAGATCGTCAGTGGGTTCCAACAGTATATCATCATGTATGTCTATCAAGACACATCCATCATTGGATCCCCGAATGGTTCAATCTCCGATGCTTGTTACCTTCATCTAAATAGCCGTTGCTCTGAAGGCGAAATTTTTTAAGCCTCAACACAACACAATCAGCTCATATGTCGGGAGAATTAATTGCAACATTCATAATATCCTGACGACTCCCCTTTGAAATAACCAAAAAAATCTATCGAAAGTCCTCATCGTGAAATAGGATTTCCAAGTAATTCTTGTATTCAACCTCTTAGTGTTCATTTATTCGAAATGTACGCAGCTTCATGGGTAGCTTCTTAGTTCAAGTGACATCCTTGAGCAGACCAAATTTGCACTTCATGTTGAACTGAACTAAATAAGTATAAATCGTGTATTTGTGTAATAAAAAAATTAAATCGATAGTAGGATGAGCAGACAACATCGATCTACGATAAATTCATAGAGGAAGAAGAACAAAGTATACTTTAGATAAACTCCATAAATATTTGATATGAAAATATTTTAACAAACGCAATAAATTGCCTATAATTCATGTGAATTTTTAAACGTGTGCGAACAACACTTGTTCTATTTTGTAATGACACAGATTTACTCTGTAATTCACACTTTTTTTTTAAAATTTGATGTTATTATATTTTTTTTCATATTTTTTTATTTATATATTACAAATTAATCAATTGGTGATTTGCAATATGGCTATGTAATATTTGATTTTAAGATTTTTTTGGCAATTATATTTTGGTTATTTCCTAATCAACTAATAATTTGATTGTATTGGGTATATTAAATTAAATCGACAATATCAGATTTTTATTTATGTAAATCTCGCATGTTTTTTAGTTGTTTAATCAATTTGGCCACTATGAAAGGAAATTGTGAAAGTTTTTTTTTTTGTTAAGGAATGGTTAACATGTTATACAATACCATTTTTTGTAAGATCTAGTTGGAATTTTAACTTCCACTCCAACCATTTATATTAAAAGATATTGGTCATATTATTATTTTTGTTTATCATACCAAAATCGAATCCAAAAAAAAAAAAAAAATTAGAGACACACATTTATTCTAAAATAATCGGTCATGTTATTGTTCCGACTTTTTATACTAAAAAATTTTAGATACTTTGTATCATGCTGTAAGATTTGAACAGTGCATTCACATGAAAATTATTTAAAATGTCGTAACAAAAAATAAATTAAATCAAGACCCACTAATTATACAAATAAAAAATTGACCAGAGTATTTTCTATAAAAAAAACATTAATACACACACCTTATACAGAATATTTGTTCATATTATTTTTTCGAGATAAAGTAATTTCATTATGGTAATCTCATACAAAAAAATTAAAATAAAAATTGAGACGCACCTAAAAACCAATATAAAGGAATGCACATTACGGAAAAAAAGAAGTGTAATTATAAAATAATAGTAATAATAATAATAATAATAATAATAATAATAATAATAATAATAATAATAATAATAATAATAATAATAATAATACGCCTCTAATCAAGCTATGCATCTTTATAATGTTCAAGTGCACTGAAGACGAACACACTTACAAAAGTGTTTATAACACTACAAAAGTGATTATATAATAATAATAATAATAATAATAATAATAATAATAATAATAATAATAATAATAATAATTGTCATATAACTATTTTTTTAGGTCTCATTTATAACTGCTTTAATGAGACAACTCATCCCACCTTTTTTGTGGGATATCAACTATCATGGTATGTGTAATACCAAACCTGTTCCCATATTTATTTTTCATTTATTTAAAAGAGGTATAGTAGTATTTTACACCACTTACACATTTTATATTTTATTTTTTAATCTAAACTTATCCTACCTCTTATCCTATATAACAAACATAGGATTAGTCCAATCCCAACAGTACAATCTTTCCCAATTGGACTAAATTAGTCTAACCCCATCCTGAAAAGCAAACAAGGGCGTAGAAGGATAAGATAGAGGGATATAAATAAATAAATCGTCCCAATAGAAATTTGGCACCACCACCATGGATTTTGGTTTTAACGCTAGCGAGATGCCCCAAAACCCTAACCCTAATCCTTATCCGTCCACAGCCGAATGTCCTATACATTACACATACAACTTCAATTGCAATTACTATCAGCCTGCCGGAGTTGATCCTTAGAGAAAATTGTTTCAAAGTCAGCCTCAGCCGCGGCCACCGGGAGTTAATCCGGCGTATGTGCCGCAACACAATTACCAGCCAGCCGGCTTTGATTCCCACCTCAACTTTTTTTCAAAACCAGCCTCATCTGCTGCCGGGAATTGGTCCGACGTATGTGCTGCAGCTTTGCGGAACCCATAGAGGAGAAAGCTCTGAAGAAAGTATCTTCAATCTTATGTTCGTATTTTGCTTTCTTAACACCCTTTGGTTGATGTAGTTACCAATGGCAAAGATTCGTCTCTTGCCTGATCCCTCATGGGAGGAAGCCAGTCGACCAGTGATGGGCATAACACCCAAATCATCAGGCCGGTGGCCGTCCAATCCGCACAGCAACCGCTTGGCTATGAACCCCAACAAGGCGCTGCTAATTTTTTGAACCCAAATGGTGCTGCTTATTTTCAGGATCCTAACGCAGGTCAGCCAGCTTTTATCTCGCCGTTTAGATCCACTCCATTTGTTGTGGTATTTTTCTTTTTAATATACATATCATTTTTTTTTTTTGCTGAGGAATGTGAAATAAAGTGTCTGAGGTAGATTAATTGTTCTAAATTTTGTGGGTCTTGTTTAGAATGTTCTTTGTGCCTGTGAACTAGTTCTCTTTTGTGATTGTGTTAGGTTTTGTAAGTTGTAACTTGAATTCTGCTTAATGAGTGACCAAAATCAATTCCTTCAGAATTTGCACAAGTTTTGAGATTGTCGATCTGCAACGCCTCATTTATTTAGGTGTTTCTACGCCCTTGTTTGCTTTTCAGGATGGGATTGGACTAATTTAGTCCAATTAGGAAGGATTATACTGTTAGGATTGGACTAATCCTATGTTTGTTATATAGGATAAGCGGTAGGATAAGTTTAGATTAAAAAATAAATAAAAATGTGTAAGTGGTGTAAAATACTGTTATACCTCTTTTAATTAAATGAAAAATAAAATATGGGGGCAAGTTTGGTATTACACATACCAGATAGTTGATATCCCACCAAAAAGGTGGGATTGAGTTGTCCCATTAAAGCAGTTATAAATGAAGCCAAAAAAAAAACAATTATATGACAGTTATTATTATTACTAGTAGATATTCTGTGCACATGCACAAATGTATATAAAATATTTTAAGTAATATTTGAAAATTTAATATTAAAATTCTAGATAATGAACATATTAGATTTTCAAAAATTTGATCATTAAGAAAAATAAATTAACGATTTTATTATTATGAACAATTGTTTATTATCATTATATAATAATAGTTTGATTATTATAATTTTTTTATTATTATTAATATTATTATTATTATTATTATTATTATTATTATTATTATTATTATTATTATTATTATTATTATTATTATTATTACTAAGAAACAATTGTTTATAAGATTCTAAAGTTGTTTTACTATGCTATTAAAACAATTTACTAATTATTTTTAAAGAAATTTTTCCATGAGATACAAAAGAAAAAGATAATATTGATTTTAATATAAATAACTTAAAATTGTTTATAATTAGGTAAATTATATTTATTGTGAATTATTATTAGTTGGTATTAACAATAACTATTATATAATATAATAGAAAAATACATGATTACACTTAATAGGATGTATTAATGTGAGAAGTAAAAAATATTAATGATAAATTTTATAACCGAAAATAGAGGGAAATATTTAGAGGTTTTATTAAATATGTTTTATTAAATGCTATATGCTAGCAATTATATATATATAGATTATTATTATTATTATTATTATTATTATTATTATTATTATATAATCACTTTTGTAGTGTTATAAACATAAAACCTTCCAAGTAATAATGTTACACATTTACAGATCTTGTACTGCCAATTATTTGACAAGTCCAGTGGGACTGTCATTCCCGCAAATACTTAGGTGTGCCCTGGCACACCTAGCTAGGTGTGCCAGAGCAATAATAAAATGAACATGTTATGTAATAAAATGAACATGTTCATTTTTATTATGTAACATGTAATGATAAAATGAACATGTTACATAATAAAATAAACATGTTCATTACATGTTACATAATAAAATGAATATGTTCATTTAAAATGAACATGTTCATTTTATTGTATTATATGTTCATTTTATTATTGCCCTGGCACACCTAGCTAGGTGTGCCAGGGCACACGATAATAGCACTGCTGTCATTCCACTATCCATGTTTTTTTTAATAATAAATCTCTCTTACATTGCCTTATAACATGAATACTATATTATACATAATGTTTGTTTTCAATAAAGCAGGAACAAAACAATACAGGGAGGGGATAGCTCGGTGTTTGCTCAGAATTTTGAAGAAGTTGTCTATGTATTATTGTTGTCTGGGGAAAGCAAAAGAACAATGGAAGAATAGCTGAGCATAGGGTAAAAATTGCTATCAAGAAAATGAGCATATTGTTTGATGGCAGTCTCCCTCTCGGGAAGGTCTTCAGAGAGGAAATCGAATGGTGCTGGTTTGCCCGTATCAACCAACGGCTCCCACCTGTAGCCTGGCCGTTCGGGTAATGCAACCGTGACAGCAACATGACTGGCGTTGAACGCTATATACAACTCCCCTTTCACTGAGTCAATCTGTCCAAAATGTATAAAAAAAAATCATTATAAAGAGAAGATGAGCATAATGATTCATATAGCAAATAAGAGATTCACGTAAACTAAGAATGTAGATTCTGAAATCCAAAATAACAAATTGTTAAAGTTTTATGAATATTTTGAACCATTTCTGGAGCCATTTTTGTGGATTTTGAATCGATGTTGTAAGAATGTCACTTGGAATCTTCCACTTAGAGTTCCTCTTGGAACCCAAACATTCCATACAAATGCAAGCTTAATTGTGCACTATCAACAAAGGGTGCGAAAATGAAAATGCCAATGTGTCATACATGATACATCATCAGCTAGAAATGTTACCAGCGTGAAAGCCACAAATCGACTACACTCGGACCAATCTGGCACTCCTGGAACACAGCTGTGCCACTGCAACCGGTCAGCTGTTGGGAAGTCGTTCAAGCCGAGAGACTCACATTCACTGGAACCAACAAAATCATCTGATGAGCTTTTTTGAAGAAAAAAGAGCCATATTTACGATGAAAAAAAAAAGACATACTTCCGGAAGTTGGTCATGAGGCAGCAAAATCTGAAGAAATCTGATGAGGCTTCCTCCATTTTGTCCCACCTAAAGTAATTTATCTGTGCATAAAGTGGACGTTTGTTCAAGAAAACACAACATACACACACA